GTTCATTTCAAACAAAATAGTTTCAATGGTATTATAATTTAAAAAGTAATGATATTTAAATAATACCAAGTTGTTTCATATTTAATAAAATTAAAGGAATTAAATACATTTTATCATATGGTTGCAAATAGAAAAGAGTAAAAGCATAGATTAATTAATAAAAAATCTAGGATTGATTTATGGCCTCAAGATGTTGCTTTATTTCAAAATAATGTTGATACCAAACTGTTCAGTCTCTAGATAGAGAGAGAGAGAGAAAGGGGGAAGATCAATACCTTCATCAGCATGAATTTTATTCAAATTCATATCAACTATTGTAGAAAAATACCAAAAGCCATGTCTACAATTATTATTCATTTATTTATTTTAATTAAAATGTAATTTTCCATTACACCATCATGTAAAGTTCAATGCAATTGTTTTATGTAATACAATTCTTCTTTAGTTTCATTGTTTTTTTTTTTTTATAATTTGCTCATCTTTTTTTGCTGTGACACTAAACAATACTTGACATTTTGATAATTAAAGTAAAAAAAATATTTAAAATGTGCTCAACTACTGTCATGTATGAAATTTATTTTAAAAAATAAATTTCTTCATTTCCTTCTACAATGTAGTCTGTATTTGTCAATATTTTTAAATTATAAAAAAGAATCGATAAAAATACCTACAAGTTGATTAGTTTATTCGATATCATGATTCAGTTGACGGTTCAATCAAGCGTGTAAAATGATGTGATACGCTTTGATGAGAAACGATCTATCGAAGATTGAAAAAAAAACAAATAAAATCAACTGACAAGGAAAGAAAATTAATACAAAAACAAATCTGAACTTAAATAAACATCATCACATATTGATAATAATGCAAAGAAAAGTAATACTCAAACAAAAAAGATTTTTTTTTTATTGTAATTATCAGAATAAAAAATGGATAAAGTATCAAGTAACCATAAATTGTGATTGTTATTTTGGCCACGAGCCTAATTTTCTGGTATTTAATCTCCATAAAAACCTAATAAACAATGAGCGTCAATTCCCCTTTTAGCCACAACATTCTAGAGACGCGTGTCACGTTACGATGCCATAGGATTCATCCATCACGCGAGTTACTCTGGGCTCAGAGACACGTCCAACGCCCGCGGCGAGCCCGCGTCGTGATTGATAAAATGTCAAATTAACTAGAAATTTTTCTGTGTTAGAGAATTAAACCACGCGTGCTGTATCTTGTCTGTCGTTACCATCCTCTACCAAATAACTCCTACTTCCCTCGTTGATCATTAAGGTATCTAAAAATTAACGATATTTTTGTCAGGTTTTATTCTGATGCTATTATTCTAATTTAATCAAATATTTATACAATTTTTCTTAGAGAGTTTTAGCATACCTTGAAGGTTGTGAAGAAGTATCATCAGCAATCACTGCTTTGGATCATCAGGAAGACTTATTGTTAAATTGAGAAGAGCAGAAATCTAGTTAAATGACATGTAGGACTTGGTTACAAAGAGTTCACGCCCAAATGACATCAAAACCACTCACAAAATGTATATCATTTACTGACTTAATACTTTTTTCAGAGTTATAAAAATGGAGTGATTAATGGACAATAGCATCATGTTCTGATTTCACTAAAGGGACTTGGGGACACGTGTTGGGGATCAAATCATTCAAGCTCATGATGCATGATTATCATTACTGGTGGATAAACTAGTAAGCTTCAGTTATTTTTTTCCCTTTCATTTCTCAATTGCTAACAAGCCTGCTTTGGTATTAAAAATTAATGGCTGTGATTATTATTATTATTATTGAAAATTAGTAGTATTTTTTACAGATAAATATTACTTTGGAAGATGATAAAAAAGTTGAATGTTTAAAATTATGTTATATAATCCAAGAAAATAATAATAATTATTTTAAAATAATCTTTTACTTTCTCCAGTTATATTAATTGAATTTCCAGAGACTTTTTCAGCAAGCTCAATGTTCACTGGTTCATAAATAACTTGAAGTCTATCTACCGAGAAGTTGGTAAAATCTATTTGTAGTTAATGATAGCAACAGCAGTCTCTTCTTCTTTTGGATAAAAATTATTATATTTTTTTAATTATATAAAAATATTGATCTTTATTGATCTGATAAAGCACAATGAAAGCACTTTAGTTAGATAAGAATGCAGTCTACCAATTTAAATAGTAAAATTTTTATTGACTTACAGTGGTATAATTGGAATTGATGCCATCAGTGAACAGCTACTGATGTTCAATTGATATTACTTGATTAATTTCTAGAGAATAAATGTGGAATTAAACTTATCTGATAGTTGAAGAATAAATTTATTTATTAAAGCTAATGTAACTTTTATTTAAAGTTTAAAGGATATTTTAATTATTGAGAAATGGTTTTACCTAAAATATTCCAGACTATCTATGAAATGAGACCAATGAAGTGTCCAACTGATCAAGAAACTTCTGCATCATCTGAAATAAATGGTGATGTATATTATTTACTTTCACATTCAGGTTTAAATTATATTAAATTTCCAGTTAAAAAAAAATAAAAATGACCTTCAACATAAGAGATGATCATCAAATGAGAAAGAAATAGATGTAGAGTTTGTGGTCCCTTGTTACGGAAATCGAGTATAATCAGATAAAAATGGAATCGTTCCGAATTATTAACTTTGTGGCTGGTAAAGAATCATCATAATACGGTTTTGCTTCCGAAGAAAGTAAATGTTGGGTCTAGAACTAGAATGTAAACTGACCAAGGATCAGTGTACCATCAATAAGAAAAAAGCTGAAAATAGATCTAGTGATAAAAATAGTCATTCATGGAAGCTTCTGGTTTGTATGAATGAGAAATTGATTAATGGAGTGCTCAAGTCGTTCTGACAACTAGAAGATGACAATGATTAAAAAGTTATATGAAGTAACATTGACCATTTGAAAAATCAGGCTCCAAATGTCATCAACAACTGTTTGTTTCAGACGAAAAAATTCGTTTTTTGATTCATTCAGGATTATTTTTAGTTCTGATCAACGAGATTTAGGAGGAAGAAGAAACAAAGAGAGACTTTGTCTCATCACTATGGTGATGTTGAACTATGCTTCAGTAATGTCATCAAACATGATAATTTTGTATGTATTAATGATAAAAATAGAATATTTTGATATTTAGTAATTATGCATTGTCATCGTTGAACATCTGTTTCAGCTTATTTTATAACACATGTCAATGTGCTACATGCCAGTATAACTCCATTGACCAACATTTCCATGAATTCTCCTGAGCTTTCCAGTGATCAAGGAATGCACGTAACACCTGGAAAAAATTATTATTAATTAGGAACATTTTTTAACCATTCTTGGAATCATCGTCAACATAATAGCAATGAATGTGTTTGAAAATAATATTTAATAATACATTACTCCAAAACTGTATTCATCATGAACTTCAATTTAGAATGTGGTTTTGGAGTAAACTTTTTTTTTCAATTATAACAAGCTAAGTATTAATTTTTTGTTTAAAAGCAGGTGATTGTTTATTTTAATATAGCTAATTGACTTGAAAATAGTGATAATAATTGTCTATAAATATGAAATGTAGTCTTGAAGCTGATGGTATTGAACCCCCAAGTATTTATCAGAGTTCATTTAACTTTCACTTAAATCCTTTTTATTTATATAGTATATTTACAAAGTTTTGCTAATTTCTTAGAACCTAATACATAATATAATTGACCTGAAAGGGATTTCTGCGAAGCAACTTAAGAATTGTCTAAGGTCTATATATAAAATAACGTTTTCCATTTACATGCTCTGGACAATGTCTTTCAAATAAGAATGTAGAGTTGTAATTTTCAAAGTGTACATTTATTTATGACTAGGAGTATTAGAGGTAGTTATAAATGTCGGTATTGCAAACACTTAACAGTTCGTATATCAATCAGACGCCAGGTCAGAACTCGACCTCGTCGACGAGTCAGTCTCTGAGAAAGAAGTATTCAGTAGTGAAGATCAGAAGTATGGACTTGTGTCTGCTGCTGCATATAATCTGGTAATATACTTTGGCGTTGTGACGTCCTGCAGAGACTCAACCTACGGGATAGCTCATTCAATCTGTCGAAATGTACCATTATTTTCTCGTTCTTAGTGCGAACACTCTTGGGCGAGTTTTATGTCACTTCTTATGTTCTGTTTTATTCCACTATTGGTACATGTGGTTAGATTCACTTGTTTTATTGCAATAAATTGCATAATAAATAATATTCAATAAAATATTTATTTTTTATTTATTCATATAAAGTGGAGTTGAATTCCCAGTTGGATAGAAATGATCATTTTGCCTACAAAAAGAGGTTAGTTAATAAATTTGTTTGTAAAGGTTTGTAAAAATTACCAATAGAATAATAAACAATAATTAATTAGAAAAAACAATTATAAATATATTGAGGGTAATTTTGTTTTGACTATTAGCACAAATTTAGAACACAACTAATGATTTAAGTCTAAATATAAATCCAACAATAAACAATCTAACCTCACATTTTTATTTATTTGCATTATTTATGATATTTATTCATAATCATTATGTTGTTCAATTAAAGACTATTTTTTATAAGAAATTAATTTAATATTACCAAACTGGGACTCGAACAAATTAAATGGAGAATTGATGCTGCTCCAATGCTGAAGTATAGACTCAAGAGGTCACACCCCTTTTACTCATTTTTATTATGAATAAAGATTTATTGGAGTACCGTTATCAAAATGTATGCGTGTCGATCTTAAATAAATAAAGTGAGAAAATTTAAAACTCCTTGTGATTATAAGCCAGCCGACAGACACGCCCTCGTGTCTCGTAGCATTCATGATTATCCCATAAGTTGACCCACGTAAATATTTTCTTAGGTAAATCTTGCCTCAAGAGACGCCACTTGTCTGAAGTAATTGAGACAATGACAACGTCAATATTAAGGTTATATCGTTTACCTGACAGCTTTGTCTCGATTCCTCTCGCTCCAGACATTGTATTCATATAATTTCTTCAATAGAAGTTACTTCAACAACTATGGAATCTAACCTCTAAAGTAAACTACACTCATCACGTTTTAAAGTCAAACGGACTTATAATGCTGAAAGAATAGATCAATAAATAGAATCAACCTTCAATGGAAAGCTTTCATCATCAAAAAACTGTGAGAATTTTTGAGGTTAATTATTTTCATAACAAACATTTTCAATTAAAATAATTTATTTTTTAATTAATAAAAATTTTATTGATGAAATTTAAAAAATAACTAGATATTTAGAAGTTATATCCGACCATTATCAACGAACAACTTTAGAAAGCCTACTAAGTTATAGGTTCGATGTAGATCAAGATGAAAGCAATTAACGATTAAAACAAATTCAGACCAAATTAATAACTAATGATAAAAATGTATTTAGTAGGTTGTTGAAAAATTTCAAATAATTAAATAGATAAGAAAACGTTAGAGATATTTTAAAACGGCCTTGATTTATCCTCAAAGATCCTTGATAAAAAAAAAGATACTTGAAAATAGTATTAACGTAAATATTTCCCCAGGGTCATTTACAACTGAGAATGAAATAAAATACTGAGTATATATTCCAGTCATTTGGACAGTTACTTAACCTTCTAGAATTCTAGCTGTAATTTTCTCATTCTTTTTGACTCTTTTTTCACATTCTTTTATATCAACTGTCTCGATCAGACCAAATTCATGACAAGAATCATCACCTACATAGCCTCAATAACAATTAAACTTAGCATAAACTCATGAAGAAGCATCATAAGAAGAAGACTCTAAAGTAAAATTGATAAAAATATTACATAATTTTTATTTTATTTGAAAAAATATCCAAAGGTTGTTAGCCACAAGGCAAGAAACTAGAAAAATTGTCATTGGTCTTGTTGGGAATATGAAAGAAAGAAAAAAAAATGAAAAAGTTGAACGAGTGTTTGGGAAACAAACAAAGTATGGAAGAGAACCGCAAAGTGTAGGTATAGCACACGAATCGAGTGGAGAGAACGAGCGTAATAAACATGTCAGACACAGAGTTAGACCCCCTGTGGGTTTGCTTGGCGTCAGAGTCTTAGACCATACTTAAAGATGAGAGTCTCATTTTCTCCTCATTTGTTTCTTTTCTTTTTATTCATTTATTTTTCCAAGTGATGACAAGAACTGTACTCTATGCCACTCTATAAGACTACCCAGGATGTTTTATATACATACACTTGGAATAAGAAGGTAAAGAAATGTTTTAACGAGCTAAGCTAAAATTCATCAAAGCTCACTAATAATAGTCATTTTTTGTTAGTTTTCAGGTTTGATGCAACTTGTTCCAATTCTCATTCTTGAAGTAGTTATCTTGCTGGTATATTTTTATGAAGGATACTTGAAAATAAAACTTGATGCTTCCTTGGACAAATATTGATAATTGGTGAATATATGGAGAATACTTGAAGATATTTTTATTCAATTTTAACTTACACATTTTGAGGAAAAAATATTTAAATTCGTTTGTCTGAAAAAAGAGAGGTAGTGCTATTGGAAAAGTAGTACAAACAAACTTTAATTGGTGATGGCATTGATATTAAAAATCGTTTTATGATGCCAAAAACTGGCATCTGACATTGATGGTTTCTTATGATGTTAACTATTAGAAACAGAATTCTTCAATCCTTAGAACTACCTAGACCAGACTAACTCCCATAAGATTTAAAAAACTTCCAACTTGTTTTGCAATTGCTTTTAAATTTTTTTCGTTGGCATAAAAGTCATGCTTTTTGTTTTTCCAGGTACTTATCTACTAGTCTTCACAATAAACTCAACTAAAATTAAGGAATTAAAACAGGTACTTTGAAAGGCTAAAAATTTGGAGCAGGTCAACACCAGAAATCCTACCAGGTGGCTAATAGCAAACTTTGGATGTTCATCTTAATTTTCAAGTCATTTACTGCCTCACAATGATAATTATCTATCATCTGGTACAATCATGGAGTTTTCTAGTGGAAATGAGTAGCCAAAATATTCTTCACTGCTAAAATAAATATTTACTCATAGAAATAGCATTGGAATGTTGGTGAGTTATTTTTTCTTGTGATTTTTTATTTAGTTTATAAGGAATGGGTATTATATGTGCATGGGCGTCTGAAGAGTAGACAATTAATTTTCACTAGATCTGTAATCTAGATCTTCCTTGGACAAGGAACCGCTAGTCGCAACGGCCTTTATGCCGTTGTTCGGTGTTCGAGCGATGCACAAGCAGAGTCTGAGTCGATGCACTTCCTCTAACTTCTCCAATTTCAACTGGGGATTATTTCAGTGGATGTGTTAATACAAGGCTTTATAGCAGAAATTATAATAAAAGATTGTATTTAAATTGCTTAATTTATTTGATTGGATTATTTATTTACGTGCGGAGTTTAAATTGATTATACTTTGATTCTTTTTTATTCTTTCTTACAGATAAGTAGGTTGTTGATGAAAATGACAACACTCATTCATGAAACTCTCATTTATTATTCATAACCATTTTTTGTATTTCATAAACTGAGTTTTTATATTACATCAATCTAATATAGAATTTTTTTATTCAATTGATAAATAAAATAAAAAATCTTCCATCAAAGGAATTATATTGATGATGAAGGAAGAACCTTTTTTCTACAAAAGTGAAGAAAAGAACCATCTATCAATAGCACATCGATTGATAGTCAACCTGCAGCAAAAGAAAAGAACTAAATATTCATAATCAGTTGTCTATTAAAAATAATAATACTTTACCATGGGTTGAATTGGTCATGAATTTTCTTCTTAATGAGAACTTATGAATGAATCGAGATAACAATTGAGATGAGGTTTCAATCAATGCATTTTGACGTCTTCAAGACATCACTGAAGTTTTTTTTTTAACTAGTATATTAACTTTTCAGTTATTGAAGAAAATTAATGTTTTTGAAGATTGGAGTAAATTTATTAAAAAAAAAAAAAAAAGAATAGAAGAGAGTATAAAGTAATATGGTTATATGAGGTAATTACGCCCATTACTCTTTGATGCATCAAAGACACGCTTTTGCTTAATCTTATTACCTCAAGTCTATAAAGATACCTTCTTTAATTATTGTAATTAGTGATTAATAAAAAAATAAATATACCCTTAATCGTTCATTGACCCGGAAAAGTTTGATTTTAATTCAAAATTATTAAATTGAAATAAGATTAAATTTTGTTGATAAAATTAAATGGAAAAGATAATACTTCCATCAAAATGTGATATTATGGTTTAAAAATAGCTTTTTTTTTTTATCTCCACAATACCAAGCACAATTACTTGAAACTATAATTTCGATTATCCAACGATAATTTTAAATGGTTGATGAAGTTTTATAATAAAAATGTAAATGAAGTAAAAATCATAAATATTGCCGGAAAAGCGTGCAAATTTCCTGTCATCGAATAGCATCAAGGGATCTGTTATCGGATGATGATTATGTGCGTCGTTTTGCGTGCAGCTGGTTTATAAAGTATAATAAAGCATGCAAACCGACATAAGACAGTACTCAGAGAGCCTCATAGGAAGTTTCCGGTAGGGTATATCTTTTTTTATTTGCATCGTAAGTAAGATGATGTATATATAACTCATAGCAAAAAGACGGAAAGAGATCGACCTAGCGTTTCTGATTGGTAATTAAACGCATGACAGCAGCCCGCCCTTTTACCAGTGGCTCGAGCTATGATCATCACGCTGTTAATGACTCTTTAACATGAAATTGCCTGCTATCATCTTAAGAATATCAATGACGTATTTTTATGTTTTTTTTTGGTATATAAATAACGTCTTTAGTGATTAAAACATGAGTGAATACATTTGTGAATATTTTTTTTTTAATCTGAGATTTTATTCTTCAATATTATCTAACAATTGGGTAAATAGTGTCATCATGACGCTTCCACCAGATGGCGTAGCAAATTTTGCCGGCATTTTTGTTACTTATAGTGAAAATTACAAAGCTATGCAGCGAATCAGCATCTTGTGATCCTAAATTCTAGAGTATTTCTTATTAAGTAAAACCCAGAGGTCCAAGATGAGTTTTAACTGAAAATAAATTAATGAACTTTTAAAAAAAGCTGTAGATAAAAATTTTATGAATTAGTAGCAGCATTAATGCTTACCTGCTCAGTGAATCAGTGTTGCGCGATGAAACAACTATGCCCGTTTCCTTCTACATTAAATCCTGAGCAAATCGCAAATCTCTTCATGATCATGCAGTGAATTGCTATAGGGCACGCACAGCATTAATGTGGCTGCACTCATACTCCAACGTCACTCAAGCGATGCCACCAACATCCTTTCTTAAAGCGTCCACTAAGGGGCTGAACTCTTAAACGTCATTCCACACAATCTCGGCTATATCACTTCATAATTATTTATTTTTTTATGAGCATTACTTAGCCGAAGAATCTCTCGTACAATTAGAGATATTTCGAGTGTGTCGACGAGAGAGCATAAGAGTCAGTGTAGTGAGTTCTGAGTAAAGTAGCGTGTAATTAAATCACTAGGCTTGTCTCCTTACCGTTACGCCAGTTCACAACTCCCTCTCTACTTTTTTCGCGCTCCCCACAATTTTTTTTTGACTTACTTGTATCATCCAAGTCCTTTAAACTTCAAAAAAAAACCAGCTTCTTTATAATATCTACTTGAATATATATATATATAAATAAAAGTGTATTACACAAGTTTTGACTTGACTGAAAATTTCTTTCCTTCTTTCTCTCATCTGAACGAGTGAACTTTGTTGTGAATCCTGAAACATAAGCTAACAATTTTATAAGCACTCACTACAGATAAATATGGAAGCTTATGAGCTCGAGGTCCACAAGTCTGAGTATATAACCGTCCTGTCCAACGTTTATTTCACTATAATCCAACTTTTCCGACAACTTATTTATGCTTTATATGTGAATTCGAGTATTTAACTTTTTTTTTAAATTACTTCAACATTGTCCATCTGATAGTTGATTTCATTTACGTCATCCTCTGTGATGTCAGTTGTCTTATTTATGCAGAAGATTGAATCAGAATTTTTTACGGTGAAGTTTAATCACCCGGTAAACAAGTGCCCAAATTGTGACCTGTGAATAAGAATCGTCCATGTATTCTTCAAGTATACCAACCATTTAAAACATAACCTTTTCTAGATTTATTATTATAATTTAGCAACAAGGATTACTTAGATTAGAATAAATGGCTTATTGGGTTTGGAGGGAAGAAAATAGAGCTTTATAGCACGCAGAATAGTTAAGCCTAATTGTTTTACTTGTAATAGGGTCACTCAAGACAGATTCTGGCATATAGAAGCCATGTTTTATCAGCAAATCAAAATTTCTCGTTAACGCAATACAGTCAGCCATGTTTCAGCAACATCTAGCTTCAGCAAAGTATGCTTTAAATTGCATCATTACCGAATTTTATTTCTTCTTTACCGACTGATACAATAACATATTTCTTCTCTGCACATTGCAGACTATAATGTGCTATTTTTTTCTCTAGGTAAAAAAAGAATCCTATCATTAACCTATAACTTAGATTAATCTTATGACACTTTTTTATAAGAATAATGTTGAAGATCCAATTGGCTTTTTATAACAATTACGCGATTATTTCAACGTTTTCATGAAAATCTTTGATTCATTCTATTTTCTAGTCAGTGATTACAGTAATAATAAATCTTGGATAAGTTAAAAAAAAAAACGATAGTAGATTGTGGATATGTAGAGTCACATATTTATGTTCAGCTCGTGGCGTTGGTTATTACTTTCCCCATGCCGAGAAACTGCGAGAGACTTGCGCTCTCGACGTTTACAGAGGTCACGGGCGTGAGATCTATGCAAGATCTACAAAGATATGCCAGGTCGTCGTAGTTCCATGAAAGTAACATACGGAAATAGCAAATCCTCGCGTTTTCCGTTTTATTCTGATTCCTTACTTTATTCAGTCCCCCTTTTTTGCACAGCCTCTACGCCATATGTCTTTACTTTTTATATAAACATTTAAAGATTTAAACTATCATTATAAATAAATTTAGATAAATTTTCCAAATAATTACAACTCCGTACTGATGAATGGATAATTATGTTGATAAAAATATATAATTATATACACATTAGAATTACATACTGCTATTTTTTTTCTAGTTTATGAGCCGTAGGAATGATTTTAAATTCATTTACCATAAATTTTCACATCGTATTCACTTTAGCACATCGTTTAAAAGCCTTTGAATAATTATTCACTTTATTGTGTACACATGTATTATGTATTTAGGATAAATCCAAAATGTAGATCATCAAATACAATTTAATTTATTTAATAGTTTAAAAATAAATAAATAAATAAAAGTCACTTTTCTTAACTTTAAAATAAAAAACAAAAAATAGAGTGAAATTTTATTAGAATAGAAATCATCAGCTTTCTAATAATCCTTAAATAAATTTTTGCAAAATCATACGTTCATAACTGATTTATTAGTTCAAATAATACTGCATCAATGGAAGAAATTTATTAATCAAAATTTGCAATTTTTAGGGTTAAAAATGTGGAACAATTCCTGGAGGAGAAGGTAGGATTATGGTCCAATCGTTTTGAGCAATAATGTCAGTGTAGTTTGATAATTTTTTTTTATGTCAGTTATTAAAAATTTCTTCACTCGTGACGTCTCTATAATTTACTTAGACTTATCTTGACATCTACATAAACTGAACCACAATCATAATAAAGATTAATAATGACTTATAAGTATAGGATTATATCAAATAGTTGAAGATTATATTATATAACTATACGGATGAGCTAGAGGTAAGATCCAGTTGACATGTGAAGGTATTACCGACAAACACAACAGAAAGTGCACCTGCCTTTTTTTTTTTATTTTTGTTCTTTTTTTTTTTTTGTTCCCTCATTGAACTGAATAGTATTCAATTTTATTTAAATTTATCTCCAAAATTGATGACGTTATTTATGTTTAATGACGATTCAGGACTTGAAACTCTTCATCAAATTTAATCTTCAATCTTCCACTGAAAATGCATGGAAACTGCCAATTAATCAACAATTCATTAGCGTTGACTTCAAAACGATCGAATCAGATGACAAAATTTATTTAAAGCTGATTCTTTTCCAAGAATAATTTTACTCAGTGCGTAAGCACATATATGTTTTTCTTAAGGCCGATATAACAAAGATATAGAGAGGAGGAGTAGCTTGGGCTCTATAGTCCATCATTATTCATCCACAACGATGATACAGGTTACAGTCACCGAGTGAAAATGTTCATCAGATATGGTAGGCGGCCACCTGCCAAAACCGATATGCAATTAATGCTAAATGTTCATGGGGCACGCAATCTTTACACGTCTGCCTTTCAACGAACAAGATCAACTCCTTTTGTCTTATTTTCGTGCTATCCCGATACATAATTTGCACTGTTACAGTTATGCTTTTTTTTCATTCTTCCAAGCAGATTATTCTTTTAATGCAAATTTTTGACTGTTGAGTTAAATACCTCAACTACTTGACATTCCCCATTTTTTTAGATAAATAATAATTAATAACAATGTTATTATTATCACTGAAAATAGTGAATACTCACTGATTCATTTTCTAGGGTGTACACTGTGCAGTAAAAATAAAATTTATTTTATTTTTTGTCTCTTGTACCATCATTGTTTAGCACGACAAGGTAATTTTTACTTAATCCTTCTCTCTATGTACATATTAATTAATCTCAAGTGACTCTTATTGTCCAAGTGGAAACATTTGATTTAGTATTTCGTACTAATTATAAAAATGTGACTATCACTCATGTTTTAAATCAAGTTTTTCCTGCTCAACCACTCGAATCAAGAGAACTTTATTAAATAGCGTTAAATCGTTCAATCAGATTATATATAGTTGGACAATACATCAGAATGATACTCGACAAAATGCTGACTAAACTCTTCATTATAAAATGATACATATCGTCGTAACAAGTGCTTTGTCAACGTATTTTCGACCATTACTCAAAAAAATATTTTTACACACACACTATTTTTGTGTACTGACACAAATTATCCATTAAATAAAATATTGCTTCCATAAATAATCACATCAATTTAAGGTGTCACTCTTCCAATTCATCAACCTCAAAGCATCAATATTTATCCAACTGTAATTTTATTTAAATAAGTTCAATTACAGTGAAAATAAAAAAATATCTCCAAGTACTCAAGCACACCTTTATTCCGTCGGACTTTGTTGCACTCCAAGACGTCTTGTAGCTTTGTGTTGAATGAATAGAAAAATATAATATACAAATGGTTATTGAAAGAAAGAGTGATCTTCATAGATTTTCATAAGAAAAGCAAGAATATCTTGTCACACGCAGTGTGTACTACTAAATTTCGCACCTGGCGTCTCACTCTAATCGTTTCAGTGGATAAATGCCGAGCTTTGGCAAATAGCCAGCGCGTGTTTCCTATTTTCAAGAAGCGATTATCTACTCACGCTATACTAGCTAGAATCCTGCCGAGTGCACGAGTTGTCGGTGTGTGGTTCTGGATCTAAACCTACGAGCCGCCGACACTGGATAATGATATTTAAGAGGGACACATTTCACGGCTTACAAATGACCGGATTACCGGATCTAAAGAGTCGTCTTTTTTTTTACCTTTTTTCCAGCTACTTCTCCACCCTTTTGTCATGTCAAACTCTTATTTTTCCAATTTGAGCAGTCTAGTAACAATGTTTATTCAGCACTGCGACCATTTGTAGTGTCTTTTTTGTTAAAAATCTCACGTTAATACGATTTAAATGTACAGAACTGGTATACATATTCATAAAAGTGACATTCATTACCATACCTTGCTTGCATACTAGAATAAAATATCCTACTGAACCGTTAAACCATTTTTACTTCAATAATTTACATTATTTTATTGGATCATAATGTCCTGAAAACTTTGGATTCACGGATAACATTTAGTAGCTTGAAGAAATCATTAATTTAGAAAATGAAACAACACATTTACTGGAGAAACAGCTGTGAGATGCTAACAAATTTGTCACACTCTTGGATTAACTAAAAAACTTCTTTTCATCAACAATGTCCTGATGGCCACAGAAAAGAAATAAATGTATTGATGTTAGTGAATGTATGATGGCAAGAATTAGATCCAGGTTGAATCAAGAGCGCTTGATTTTTGTGTTGTCTTACAGGAGACACTAGGCAGGTCAGTACTCTTCAGGTATATTCCTAACTCAGAATGAGAAATTTTTAAATCATTGCTGGTTACACTACAAAAGTCACAGTTTACCTAGCTTCGTCTAACAGAACCAAGGATTATATGACCAGTCTCCATCACAGCCCTAACAGGAAGCAATGGCTCATTGATAGTCCAACATTGGGCCATGGTTGGTTTGGACTCTAGACCAGGTCAAGGATAGATCCGTTGAACCTTCATGATAGAAATGTGTTCAGCTATTTTTCTTTTTTCATCATTATTTTAGCAGTTTCTGATAACACAGTAACTAGTCCAAGTAGTTGTACAGTTGTATTTCTTACAATATTTAAAATAAAAACATCCTTTATTTTGAAAATAAATGATAATAATGAAACATCCTGAATAACAAGTACCAAGAAATTGCTAGCATGATTCTTGAGGGTTACACTCATTGATGATTATTGAATTTAAAAATAATCTCCATCAAAAAAACTGTTTGATGAAGATTAACCACATTGTGGGTGAACTGTGAGAGCAAGATGGAGCTGTGATAAAAAAAACACCCTTATTAGAGGGTAAGTTTTTTGTGATTTATAGATCAGAATTTATTAAAACAACTTTTTTAACACAGCAAAAAAATTTTCCTAGGTATATCTTAGCAAATGAATCAAATTTCATAATAATGTCCAACATTAAACCTCATCGTCTAGATAAATAAACGCAACCCAAAGGCAAAAATGCCACGCGACCATGCATTGAGGGGACAAAGACCTGTCGACCTAAAAGAGCCCATAGTTCGCACTACATGTAGATCTACATCAGATAACCTTACGACAACTTGAATTATTGTCATCTGTTTAACTTAACTGGAA